CCACATCCTACTTTGAAAACCAAGACACTTATTTTTCATAATTTAAAATCCTGCCTAACTCTGGGAGCATTAGAATTCCTAGACTATGACTGAGTATTAGTGTGTGTCTGCTTTAAATGTCAAGAGAGTCTTTAATAATAACATGTAAGGAATGTTAAGATGGTGACAGAATACAATAAAAGTAGGGAAATTCTTCAATTGGGGTGAAATGAGCCATTTATTGCCCACCACCTGCATGCTGTAGTTGGTGTGAAAGACATCATTTAATACAAGTTTTCCCTATTGCTGAATTTTGAAATGATAGTTTGATAAAATGGGTCAAAAATAACTGCTGGGTAAATGGCTTAGCCTGTTGAAGGGATCTGAGTTCTCCTACTCACTGCCTTTTTTTGCCCTTGTTTTTCTTCTTTTGATCAGATGTACTTTGGAGACCTCTGTAACTGGAAAGCCCTTGCCTAAGTAACTGGATGCACTCTGCGTGTGTCAAATTAATGTGTTTGGATCATTATTGTGTCTAAAACTCCTGAGGAAACCTATACAGCCACTGCTTAAGGCATACTCAATCTGTGGCAGAGAGTAATAGTCCCCAAACTTCACCTGATTAACTTGGGCACTTTGGGCTCCTTATTTAAAATACCTACTTCTGGGCGGCACCTGTAGCTCAAAGGAGTAGGACCATATGCCAGAGGTGGCAGGTTCAAACCCAGCCCTGGCCAAAAACTGCAAAAAAAAACCTACTTCCAGGTACCTCTCTTGAAGTGTTGAGTTCACCAAGTCTGGGTGAGACCCCAGGTTGGAGATCATCACTGTATGGGAAGAATGCAAGTGTGCCTATCATAAATTAGGTGCCTGTTAAAACTACAGAGCCCTACCCTTCCCATGGAGGTTCCGCCTTAGTATTTCAGCATCGGCATGGGGAGAGAGACGAAGATCTATAGTTTCAGTTTTCATACTAGATGATTCTTAGGATCACACCAGTGTGGAGAAGTCAGACCTAGAACCATATAACCTGGTTTCCAGTCTTCTGCCCCTTCCCAGCACTCTGTCCTCAGATATCAGATACATTTACCGTGCCAGCCCTCAGTTTCCCCAACTAGAATACATGAGAATAGGACTGGAGGACTAGACATAGCCACAGCAGCCTTTGCCTCTGTGAAATCAGATGCGTGGCTTGGCCCCTTCTTATCTGTGGTCAATAATGCCTGCATTTTTACACACGCAAAAGCCTTCATTTATTTCAGCAGAGTTTTGTTTCTCATGAGTGAGAACTGCCAAATTGGCCTTAAAATGATTAGTCCTCCTGACAACATAGAAAATGATGATGTTAAATGAACCCCAAACCAAGTTTTTCTCTGCTAAAAGAATGAGTTTCATCTCCTTAGTGTCTGTCTTTGAAGATGTTGAATGAAACTGCTAGCCCTTGGCAGTTACCAGCAGGTCTGGAGCGATACACAAATTCTGATCTTCCACAGGGCAGACTATCTACAGCCTAATTTGAGGCCATGGGTAATAGAAGAGGGGATGGCCTATATCAGCCAAAGGGAAGAAAGACATTTTCCAGGATGAGAGGAAGATACAGTAAGAACAGAAGAGATTAATCTGTGAGAAGCAGGCTTCATCTTTCCTGTGCTTTCCGTGCAATTCTTTAAAAGATCAAAATTATTTCTCTTTTTCGGTTAGCCGAACTGCAAACTCCATTGAACCCCTGTTCAACATAGATCCTGATTCCATACATATACTCAGCCAGTGTTAAGTCTAGATAGACTAGACTGAATTTGCTTTTATTAAAAAAAAAAAAAAATAGTAATTTTTGCAGTATTCATGAAGTTGTTTGTGCTAAGCTTGTTACGTGCAAGAGCTCATCTCATCTTCAGAACAACCACCCTTCAGAGTTCAGAGATGATTATTCCATATTTAGAAGGAGAAACTAGATACTTAAAAGGGTTACATAAGGTGCTTAGACTCTCCCAGCCAGAGTATGAACCCAGCACTGTGCGAGTGTTGTGCCCACATCCTTAACCACTTTCCCTCGGCCATCGTTCTACAGAATCAGTGAGCAAACTTTGTAACTGAAACACTCCATACACAAGCAGCCTTCTCTAACTTGCAGCCCGATTCTGTCCCTTTTGTGCCAGATTTCTCATTCCGTACTCACCAGGAAAGCTTGAAGAGACTAATTCTCTTTTGATAGACAGATCAAAAAATTTTCAAAGTTGCCAACCAAATTTTTAGTTGACCTTCAGACTGGATTTCCCAACCCCCTTTTCTTTGCTTTTCCTAAGATTCACAGTTTAAGAGGGAATGCTGGAATATGTTTGCTAATGTTAAATGTTTGTGTTCTCATATTTTAATAATGAAAGGATGCTGCGAAAATTGATGGGGATGGTGAGCTCATGGCATGATGGCATAAAAAGTAATAACGAATATGAAAGCTTTTTGAAAGACTAGCTGGTATTTAAATGCAAGACAGCCATTGTTAGAGAGGGGATGTGTTTTCCAGAGGCGTGAATGTTTATAACCTTTTACCATTAAAAAACAAACAAAAAAAACCCCACAAAGTGAATCTGGTAGGTTTCTTTCTTTACTGTTCGTGTCACAGCTATACTTGATTAAAAGTCTAAAATATATCCAGAAATGTGGTATTATACGTTATTATACAAGCAAAAACAGAAAGTTGGATTTTTGCCCTTTGTGTAACCTTGCCTGTCTTTTAAAAAAAAGCAGGACTAGGGCAGTAGAATTGAGGGTCTTGGATAATTTTCAAAATGGATGATGAATTCCAAGCTATGTTCTCATGGAAAAATAAGAGAATATTCCCTATGGCAGTTATATTCAGGGTTGTAGATGTGCCTGTGTATACACAGTCTAGGTTTGTGTTTGCAACATAGTTGCTACCACCTTTGACCAGTAAAGGTCAGCTTGGCAGACTTTTGGATGGAATGTGGATGAGATGATTTCTTTCAATGCTAAGGATTGAGATTTTCTTTTTACCAAACTTAGTCTTTGTAATTGCTACATCAACAGTGTTTACCCTCAAATTAAGTCACAATTAATATTCAGCAGACTTGCGTAAATAATCACCTCTCCCCCTCTGATTTGCATTCTTCAGCATAGCAGACTAGTACTTGCTTTGTTTTTTTTTTAAATGCCTGAATTTCTTCTGCCCCATGATAACTTAAAACTTTTTTTTCAAGTCTAAGAATATTTTAGTTTTGACACCAAAAAACTTAAGTCACTTACATGAAAAACAAAAACTGTAGAAAATTGCCATTTCCAACAATTTATTCTGAGCCACTTGGGAAAACTAAATTCCTTTAGCATTATGTGGTCAGAGAATCTTTGAGTTTGTCTGTTCAATAACTTACTAAAGAACAGAGGATGAATAACATACAGTGGCTCCTAATATGGTATCGTTTTCATTTCCTGTTTGTTGAAAGATAAACGCTAACAGTGTAAGAGTTGTTCTGTTTTTTTTTTCCCCCCTTTTTTAATTTATTCCTCCTTGAACCACAGAGAATAAAAAGGAAAAGTCAAATGTGATATGGCTGGAACTGAATCATCTAGTTAGGATAAGCTGAAAGTTTTTCCTCTTCCCTTTTCTCTGTCTTCCTCCAACTCCTGAAACTGCCCTCCTACATCAGAAAATAACTTCGTTTAAAAAGGCGAAGCCTATTTGATTTTTATTTTAGAATAATTTTAGACTTACAAAAACTTTTTGTTTGTTTGTTTATTTCGCCCTCAGTAGAGTGCTGTAACATCACAGCTCACAGCAACCTCACAGACTCTTGGGCTTAAGCGATTCTCTTGCCTCAGCCTCCCAAGTAGCTGGAAATACAGGTGCCCGCCTCAGCACCTGGCTATTTTTTGTTGCAGTTGTCGTCGTCTAGCAGGCCTGGGCTGGGTTTGAACCCGCCAGCCCCGGTGTACGTGGCTTGTACCATAACCACTGTGCTACAGGCACTGAGCCAGAAAATAATGGGGTTTTAAAGGATTTCAGGCTCCTCACTTGTCACATAAAAGGAATGAGCCCCCCCCCAATTCTAAAGCAGTATTTTAGACATAATACTTTAACAAAAGTATTAAACTAAAACGATATGTCTATAACTCTCTTCTCTTCCTCTCTCTCATTAATCTCTTCTACATTTTCCCTAAATGCTACAGCTGTTCTCTTCTCTTCATCTTGAGGGGATGTATGTCCCACTTCTTTTACAGAAGTAATCATCATATGTCCCCTATGCCCAGCTGTCTCAAACTATTGAAAATATCATGTTTGCCTTGGATTGCTCTAACACAAAGGACGTAGCTCCCCATAAGTAATATTTGAGTGGCTACTATGTGTATCCAATTAGAAACTCCTGTGATTTCAGAAGATAATTTTTGTATAGAATAAGAAGCCTTAAATTATTAAGATGAGACCATCACATAGTGGGTACTCAAAATATTAAGTAAATGAATAAATAAGCTTATTCTGTGCTCTTTTGGAAATGGGAACCTGTGAGCCTTCATTGCCTGTTCTTTCGTGCTGTTATCACTTGCCAGCGTTGTCTTAATCTATGCCTACCTGTTCAGAAAGATGAAGCTAATTTTGCATAAATGTATCCATCTGGCTAAAAGTTTTCCCACAACCACAACAGATGAATTTATGAGTGTTAGCTACCTAGCTCGTCTTCCTCTGGCTTCCTCGTGAATAAGGTTGGTTAATAGGCGTGATTCACATTTGTCTTGTAGCTGTCTGTTCCAAGGGACTCCTTGGTGCCAGCAGGTCTAGAACTTCCCAGTTAAAGTCAAATGCATCTTGTGTTGAGACATCTCACACCAACACCTCTGATGACTTGGAGTTTGGCAGTGGTCATATAGATTTCAAAAAGGATTAAGCAATGAAGATGATTTTGTCATGTGCTATGGTGCCATAGTTTAATTTGGAATATGTGTCATTTCTGGTGTTATGAGAGTCATGCATCTTTACTCAGAGCAATAACAAAGCATTTTCTTCCTACTAGCTTGCAAAAGACAAAGAACGCCTGCAAGCCATGATGACCCATCTGCATGTGAAGTCTACAGAACCCAAAGCCGCCCCTCAGCCCGTAAGTCCTGATCCCACCCCACGGGGAACAAACAGAACAACTCACAGTGCTCCTTGTCTGCTTGCTCGCCCCCTACACAGAAAGGAGAGCCGCATATTCTGGCAAATTTGGGGTGTCACAGGCCTTAAGATCAGTTGACCTTTACAGTTTCCTTTTATGCTGGAGGACCGTGGCTTGATGGGACACACGGGGGTGGTTCAAACATGGTCCTTGCCCATGAGGTCAAGCAGCCAAGGTCTTATTTTGGGACAAAATGATTGGTGTTAAACCAAGGTGTTAAGGTATATAATGAGAGCTCACTAGAAAAAGAAAATCTTTCTGAAGGGTAGGAACGCAGAGAAGCCAGCTAAACTATGAGGGCAGAAGAAAGAGGCATTTCAGCATGGGTAAGCTGAGAGAACGCAGTATATGAGAAACGAGCACCAAAGAGTCTAGATTGACTGTAACAGAGGAGAGATACAGGAGACACACGGTGCCAGAATAGTTAGAGGCTGAGTTACGGAGAGCATGTAATGGTTACGAAGGAATTTGAAGCGAAAATTCCTCCTTCACAGTTAGGAGACCAAACATGGTGTTCTGAAATTACATTTGATTTTTAGGAATCTCCTATTTCTTGCCTTGTTCCCTTTTACCGGACCTTGAAGGGTGTCATCCCAGCACAGGCCATTAATATCAAAGCAGAAAGATGATATCTAAACTCCAAATCCTGACTTGGACCTCCTCTCTTGTAATAAGTCGATCTCTTTAACAGTCGTAGTTCTCATACCCTCACATTTCTAAAATTCTCTTAGTAGCTTTAACTGATTATTCAAAATGGAGACAAGTGCTTTGCTTCTTGATTTTAAGATTTGTAAAATTTAAAGGTACACTGCCTTTATTTGATTTTGCTTGGAGTCACTGTGTGAAAATTAATTGAGCGTTGACAATCTATAGTTAGTACCAGCAATTTTAATCAATATGCAATGATGCAGCGTGATGGCAAAGTATTGGTTTATCTGTTTTGACTGATTTTTTTCTATAAATAAAGCAAACATACACCCATATAGGTATGATTTATGGTGATAGAAATAAAACGGAGTCAGACTATTAACCCAGCAAATATGGTAGCCTGCCAAGACGCAGTTGGCAGACAAAATTAATGTCTGAAACAGAACATATTACTGAGATATAGGACATAAAATCATTAAACACTTTGCACATCCATTTTTACTGGGAGAGAGCCCTTAGTTTCCATGTATTTTACAGTGAATGGCTGTAGGACTGGATGTGTAGACTACCAAAAAGAAAGGAAAGAAAGAACCAGCCCTTTCAGAATTGTGGAATCCGTAGTCACCGTGCTGTTTCCGTTAGCCCCTCCTTTTAAGGGGAGGGTACTGGGAAGAGTGTGAACCCAGCTCAGCAAATTGGTGAGACACTGAAATGGCCTGGCTGGTTTCTCACACAGGCATTGTGCGGGGGACTCATATGCTTTGGAACTTTTTGATAGTCGTCAGATGGCTTTAGTGAAATCGTTTTCCTAGAATGAAGGATTTGAGTCCTCCTTTGAGTCTTTGAGACCTTGCTACAAGAGAGAGAATGGGATTATGTTCTTTTTCCATGGATTAACACATTGACAGCCACAAAAAAAAAAAAAAAAAAAAGCCAGACCTAGGCTCAATACTAGGAGAGGAGTTAAATACATCTTATGTGGCAATCAATGTGTTAAAAATAATGATAGAACAATGGTTGGACCTAGCACTCTGGAATGGACTTTTTTTTTTTTTTTTTTTTTTTGGATTATCTGGTTCCTTGAGAGCAAGAGGGTTGTACAGTGAAAGAGAAGGAGCCGTGAAATTCTGTGGGGCACTCAGCAAATGACTATTGGGTGTTGGCAGGGAGCGCCATGCCTGTAAGCCCACATGGGCCACTGCTGGGAATGTCCACACGGACCGGGGTTAAGCAGCCGGTAAACAGGGAAAAGCCGTCCCGGGGGGGAAATGAACAGGGAAGGAAGGTTTGTCTTGATTAGTATTAGAAGAAAAATGTTTTACATTCTAGAAAATTATAACTTTGAAGGGGACCTCCTACTAAATTTATTTTTAACTGCTCTATTGAAAATTCTCTACCACTAGTCAACATTATCTCTTAGTAGCTCAGCACAGTATTTCTTTATTAAAAGAAATAGGCACGAATATTTTTGACTGAAAAATTAATAGCTTTTGAATTCATACACAGCAGGTTTTCTTTTGCAAAGAAGTCCAGTATCGCTGCACAGCACTTCTATAACCATTTATTTAGAGCCCAAGTCAAACCTTTGACAGCTAGAGCAGCGCTACAAGCCAGTATAAAGAGCTCCAAGATGTAAACCAACAATAGGCCGTCTGTGTGAGGTTTGCCATTGTCAAATACATAGATTGTTTGGATTAGTTTATGTAAATGTACTGTTGTATTACCCTTTGGGGGGAAAAAAAAGATCACATTTGTGTATGAAAAGTGGTTCCCTTCACAGGCAGCATTATAAATTCCTTATCCTTTAACTTACATGTAAGAAGTAAAAATTGGTGCCTGACAAGCAGGTATTGTGTGACACTCTGTTGTCGGAGTGAACCTGCCTTCTTTTCATTTATTGGAAAATAGAAAATTTTATTATAGATACCATCTTATAAATCAGGAATTATTAAAATATGTATAGGTGAGGCATTGGGAAATTAATTATAAAAGGTGGATGTAGAGTGTTTTGCATAAATTTACACTTCCTTGCCAAAAAGAAAAAAAAGAGGCACACACATAACAGCAAACTCTTAAGGCTTTCAACTTCGGGGACCCAGAGTTATCTGGTGACTGATTCTAACATAAAAAGTACTCCCTAGATCCTGTAATTAATTTATTCCACCCTAAATGATAGAATGAATGGTGTATGTTCAAATGAACATCCTTCTAGGATTTTTGATTTGAAACAGTCACTGAGATTCAGATTTTCAAATCTAACCATAGATGGGGAGTTTCGTGTTACAACCTTGCCAGTAAATTTATGAAGTTTTTTTCTTTTTTCCATTTCTGTTTAAAAGAAACCTCATGTTTATTTTAAAATTCTTAGTCACTAAGTGATAGAATGCTTTGCTGTAAATGTTGCTTTTCACTAAATACCATTTGGGTGGTAAGTGTCATTTGTTATATCTTCAGTCATCCAACCCCGTCTCCATTTCATTGCATCAGAGAAAATGCTGAAAGCTCTGGAATTGTTCTGACATCAGCTCACAGGCGCATTTTTGGATCTTGCTGTAGAACTCATCTTCAGGGTTTGGGTAGTTAGAAGATAGGCTTGTCTCGGGAAGGTGCCCCAGTGTTTAGACGTGAATCTGAGCTCCACCCACACCAGGCAGAAAGTGGATGGGTGAATTGGAACAGGCGGTCCTGGGCTTCTGATGCCTTGGACTCCTTCAAAACCATCTCTTCTGCTTGCTGTCTCATCTTCTCATCTTTCAACTTTAAAAAAATAAGTGATTTCAAAATTTAAAAAAAAAATTTCTTTCAGAATTATACCTAAGACTCAAAATGTAGATTGTTTGGGTGAAGGGAATTCCTGCATTTAACATAAAACTATTTTGTCCACAAGTATTTATTGAGCATGCTAAATACTGAATGTAGGGTACTTAAATAAGAGAGAGGTCTGTCCCTTGCCATTGAGGTGTTGGAGTCTGTGGACCAAACTGATAGATCACTACACACACACACACACACACTGCATGAAAGCATGAGCCATGCTCCATGTAAGCAGGGCAGCTGGGCCCGAGTGGGGAGGTCGAGGAAATCTCCTGGGAGAAGTGCTGTCTGAGCTGAGTAGAAGAAATTTCCCTGGGGTCAAGAGTAGGTGTCTGGGGAAGAGAACTGGGAGAGGAGGGTGGGTCATGAGGATCAGTGTGGAAGAAGGAAAGGGATAGCCCACGTCAGGTGTATTAAGCCTTTCATGCTTCTAATTTTATTAAGGCTAAGGGCCCTTCATGGAGAAGGCTATGAGAAGCTCAGCAGAGCGGCTGTAAGTTGTAGGGATAGGTACAGAAAAGCAGTTGTTGGCATAGGTTTAGAATGGCCAAGCTTGCTGTACTTCAAGTTTTAAAAGATTCTTCTTTTTTCCATGGAAAAAGAAGCAAAAGCAAAAAGTAAGATGATAATAAACGCTTGGGTGACAATGTCTGGTATGCTTTTATTCCAGACTCAGTAGCATTCTCAAACACCCAGACGTATTGATGGGCATCTGATGTCTCCATGCTTATTACTCCACAGAGAATTTGCCACCAAAATATTTTCTTGTGGGGGGGGAGGGGGAGAACTAAACTCAGAGGACAAAACAACAACAAAAAGAGACATATCTGTGTTATAACTTTATTAAGTTGTTAAGGATTTCTTAAAGAAGACTTCTCGCTGTCTGTCATTATGTCAGAAACACACCGTAAATTGTATCTTACGATACTGAGGACACGGAGGTGCGCTTTGCTGTAGGGCACTCCTGCAGGTCGGAGAACAACCCTGATCCCAGAGAAACCACATTCTTTCGGATTTGGTGGGCACGTAATTACAGTGTAGGTAGTATATCCTTCTTTACAAAAATCTTATAAAACACTTACAGGAACTTGGATATTTGGGATGAAATGCAGTATTAGATTTTCCTCTTTTACACATTTTCTTTACCCATAGCAATTAGGACTGTTTTGAAATAGTTTTTAGCTACTATAAAAACAAAGCACCCCTGCTCTGAAGGATTTAAAAAAATAAAAGGTCTTTTAACTCTTCAAGGATCATTTGGGCAGCTGGAATATTGCTTTAAGGTTGGAGAAATAATATTAGGCAGTCTTAAAAAGGGGGCTTCTCAGGCACAACATACAAAAATAATTTTAGGTACTGTTATTCATTAAATTCCCCTTCCTCAACTCAAGTTTTGTTGTTTTGAATATCACTGCCAGTAATACCACCATCTAAGCCAGTGCCCTCTGCCAGCACCAGCTCTAACATCGGCCAGGGTGAGACAGGCAAGGACAGCACAGGCCTATGACAAAGGCCTCCAGCTGCCACCCGCTGTCTTGCCCTCCCCATGGTCTGGTAATGTCTTTTTGCCTCAGAAAGGCTGTGTCTGAACTCAGTGATTCATGCCCAGAAACGCCGCCACCGCACAGTTTAAGCAGGACTTGGGCCGGCTCAGGCCAGGAAAACCAACAGCTGAAAAACAAGTTCTGTGAGCCCGAAAGTCCCTACTATGCAGTTGTGTCCCTGGGTGTTTGGGTTTCAGGTTTGTCTTTTGTTCCCAGAATCTGTTTTCATGTGAGGCAAGAACACAAACAAAAATAAAAAAGGAGTTCTTATGGGAATACTTACAACAAGTCTGTTTCTGTCTGGGGTTTACATCAGCGGCATGTTTATTTTTTAAAAATGTGAGTGACTCATCATCTTTAAACGGGAGAGGAGATTACTGTTTAAAAACTAAAGATTAATGTTTTTTCTTTCTTTATTTCTCCAAAAAGAACTAAGCAGAATGGGTAGCTGATAGAATTCAAATGGTCTCAATGGCTAAGATGTCCAGGGTCATCCTTCTGTGACTGGACTGAGGGAAAAGGCAATGCTTGAGACCACAAATAAATTAAAAAAAGAAAAAAAGAAAACCCTGCAGCAATTTTAAATGGCATAAGAATTTAACTTCTGGCCAGAGTTTCAAAGAGATTATCTTTGCTGAAATCATCACATGATGGAAACTTGCCATGTAGAAAATATCAGAGTTACTGACTTTTCTAAACATAGCAACTTCTTTCTAAATAGAAAATGAACACAATAAGAAAAATAGGCTTTCCATCAGGAAAAGAAACCCTCCCAGTCCATTCCCTTCCTGCTCCGTGCCCTAGGAAAAAAAAAATTATCTTTTAAAACCTTTAACTATCATCAGAAACACGAGGCACATACGCTTTCATTTCTAATTGATGATTATATTAAGATTTAATAGTTTACAATTAAGATGAATATTTCAAGATTACAGCAAAACCCACACCGTTCTCCATTTGCTCTTCTGTTCTAAGTCTGTAATTAATTTCTGGGGGGCCTTTTTTTTTTTTTTTTTTTTAGAGAGAAAGAGACCTTAATTGAAAGAGCAGATTTAGTTTGAACGCAGAACCTGTTTGAGTCTTTCTCTATTTTCATTCTCTTCTCCCTTCCTCCCTCTCTCTGTCTGCTTCTCCATCTCCCTCTCTCTCCCCCTCCTTCCCTGTCTCTTCCCTGTCTCTTCCCACCCCCCCAGCCTTGCCTTTCGAAAATGGTTTATCCTCAAGACAAGCATGTGATCATCAAACACAAGTTGAAAAGTTGAGAAACTTCTATGCCAGTTGACAAGGTTGACATTTCATTAACTTGTTGGTTCAGCCTTCAGATGATTTTGTGTGGCAAAGCACCCTCTGTTTGGAGTTTACAGCTTTTTGTTCTTCCTTCCCTCACAGGCTACATACAGTCATGTTTAATTTGGAATCTGGGCTCCTTTGGCAAATTAGCAATTAGAACAATTTTGTGGGAATATGTATATGTGTCATTAGTTTTCCTGCAAATTAATAGCAAGGGCAGAGGTCAGGCAGAAATTTTCCACTTGACTGCAGCTCCTCTGTTGAGACTTGGCACTTGGGTTTGGAATGGCCACAGCTGCTCTCAGCCACCCTCTTCCTCTAGGAACTGTCTTTTAATTAGTTTACCTCATAGCCATCATTACAAATATTACTGCCTCCCCTCCTCGAAATGAAATTACTGTTTCTACAAAATATTCCAGTGACATCTTGCACCACTGCACATTGATGGTGGGGTCACTCGAATGCAGCGTTTAATCATTAGATCACCTCCATCCGCGTCTCCTAATTAGAGTCCTTACAATACATTTTTATCTGGTAATTAGCCGAGATTGGCTGCTTCCTCTGTGGCTTATTAGAGACAGCCCAGCAGTGGGTGTGAATCGCGGTGTCATTTGTCAAGCCTGGTAAGCCCCCTCTCTGCTCTCTTCTGGCTCAGTGTTTATCTCCACTTGCTATGTTCGAAAGCCTCCAGAAAATTCTACCTGCATCTCTTCCTTCGTGGTTTGTGCTGACCTGGAGGAATTTTATTTTTCACAGTTGCCTTTTTTGACAGTAGTAGTACAAGTGGTACAAACCTTGGTGAAAGCTTCACGAGTAAATTTCTCTTTGCATTTGATGATATGTTACTGTGGGTTCATCCGTTCTTCTTAGATGTGAACACCCCAAAAGGTGGGCTTACACTTGCTGAACGTTTACATGAGTTTTGATTTTTTTTTTTTTTTGACAATTAAATTAGTACCTAGTGGACTTGGTGACCTTCCTCCCCAAACTGGAAAGGAGCATACGTAGTTCTTAAGGACATTTGTGTTTATAATTTTTGTTATGTTTTTGAAAAAGCCACTGTGTTTAGGGGTGATGGTCTTAAGCCAAAAAAGTAGAGTTAGTGCTCAGAGTCACTTTGTGCTTGTTGTACCTGTGCCTTTGACTAATGTCTGTATGGGATGGTAAGCATGTCAAGGGCAGCAGTCCGGCATTTTTATTCCTATTTTTGTCATCAGAGACCAGCTGCCTTGTATTCGGTCTGTGATACGTATTGATTGAATGCCATTTGGAAGCAGGGATAAAACCATTCATGGAATCCTTTTTTAAAATGAGCATATAGGATGGAACTTGGTAGTATTTATTTTTCCCATTAAGTAAGCAAGCGCCAGAAGATGACACCAGTTGTCTAGAATGACATAGTGAGTGGTTTGACTTCACTTCCGAGTTGGGACTACGGATGAATTATTTAATCTCTTCAAGCCTCAGTTTGCTTATCTGTAAAATATGAGAAAATAACATCTCAGATATTAGTGGTGGAATGAGGCACAGGTGTTTTAAAATATGCTGTTCACCAATGTGACCCATGACTTTACAGAGTGTTCCGAGATTCTTAGCCTTAGCAGCATCTGAATTATAAAAGCTGTGTATGTATGGGCACGAGCCTTTCATGCACTAATTTCCTTGACCTTCGGCATAGGCTGATGCTTATATGTACTGTTCCTGGACTTGGTTAGTGATTAAGGCCGGTGGAGAGGAAGAGGTCAGCCCCAATTCTGGCCCTTGGCTTCTTAGCTTTGCTTCATCCCATGGCTGCTACTCTGAACTCTCAGCACTCACTTTGCAAATGTGTGTCATAAAGTCAAGTTGCCAGCTTTATTGAAAAAGCAGCTCCCAGCATCTGCCCAGCTTGCTGGGGCATTTGTGAGGGCAGGGCCATCACCATAGCTTGCTCTTCTTGGGCATCAGGGTCTTTTGTTTGCCAAGTCAACATTCCAGGCTGAAAACAAAAGGGAAAGTGTAACTAAAAGCCACTGCCCAACATGTAGTTCCCAGCACTGTGTTTGCATTTTTCCATTAGTATTTCTTCAACGATATTTGATCTTTCTTTTCTTCAGATTCATTGCTTTTTCATGGAACTCCCCCAAACATGTTAGAGAGGATTCTCATGACCTTTTTTTTTTTTTTTTTTTTTACTGGAATATGAGTAAAGGTTGAGTCTTCTCAACAAATTGGAGCTCTTTTAATATGTTGTTTGATTATGATCTCAGAGGAATCTCATTTTTAATGCCTTCTACAAATACTGCCTTGTACTTAAGGCTGACTATAGCGATGGTGAAATAGATTTATTATGGTAAATGATTCAAAGTCTGGTTTAAGAAAATTTTACCAAGTGAGCCTACTTTGCTGAAGTTTCTTGAATTTGGGGGTGGCTCTGTGTTTCTGAGATAGCAATTCTCTGTAAACTGTGATACATATATTGAAATCAACCAAGTTCTTCAGCATTGCCAGACTTAAAATAATATTTCTGTTTCAACAAATTTTGGGAAAGTGTTGTCCCTTTTAGTATTTATAAGATCAGCACTTCAGAGTGAAGGTAAAATTGATAAAAATAAAACAGTACTAATTCCTTTCTCTCCTTTCCAGTTCAAATAAAGAATACTCATTTCTTTACTTGAAGCAGTAGATTATTTTCCATCTTATGAAACTTTCACATGTGAAGAAAAAAATCAAAATTCATACAGTTCCAGATCTCTCATATTCCATAAAGAATATGCCGTATTTAAAAAAGTTAATAGATCCCAGTCCTGTATTTGATAGAGTTTAATGAAGATTACGCAAAGCTTTTAAAGAGTATTTTCTGCCAACTGATAGGAATAAATGATGGCTTACTGGATCAGTGCCATTGTTTTTAATATGAGTATCAGGCCAAACCTACTTGCAGTGAGTTCCCATCACCCATGAAGTTTCATGATGTAGTTAACTAGCCTATTCCCATGCAGTCCAGGGTGGTAGCTACTAGCCTCATGGGGCCATTTACATTTACATTTATTAAAATGAAAGTTTGATTCTAATGAAAAGTGAAAACAGCTTTTTGGTTGTGCTAGCATGTTGTAGAAAGTTCCGTTGGACAGTCTGTGTCTACACCAGCGTGTCCCAACTGATGTTCCCTAAAATACTCATCCTCCCTAGCGTCATTAGGGGCTGCCTCTCTCTCTTTGAGATTTGCGAGGCACCTTAATTTGCTAAAATTGGTGAGACATCGTGGTTAAAGAAATCTCTTGACTCAGAATTTCTCAAACTCACTAGAGTAGGTGACCCTTCATGTGTCTGTAAACACCCATTTATAGCAGCCTTTGGAAAGACCATCGCAAGAAATAATTTATACTACATACTAAGTAAATTGGCTTTACACGGGACTCACCTCGTGTTTTAGTTGATGATAAACAAATCTGCTCAGAGAAATAACATTATCCAGACATCCTCTGTGTTATTCCTGCTGGATGCGAGCGGCTTCCTTGGGTGCACAGTCGTTCTGAAGGTCTTCTAAGAAGTGTTCTTTGCCTCACAGCTGAATCTGGTCTCAAGCGTCACACTCTCCAAGTCCGCATCAGAGGCTTCTCCACAGAGCTTACCTCATACTCCAACGACCCCCACGGCCCCCCTGACTCCTGTCACCCAAGGCCCCTCAGTCATCACCACCACCAGCATGCACACGGTGGGACCCATCCGCAGGCGGTACTCAGACAAATACAACGTGCCCATTTCTTCAGGTAGATACTTCACTTTTGCCTCATGTAGAATGACAATCTGCAATTCTTGCAGACCAGCCTCTTTTTAAAAAGTGATAATTAATAGGACAATGATTCTTATTTAGCAGATATTGCGCAGAACCAAGAATTTTATAAGAATGCAGAAGTTAGACCACCATTTACATATGCATCTTTAATTAGGCAGGTAAGTAAATAACACAGTATATGAAATTGTATCAAAAGGTGTACGTGTACATGGATAAATTATATTGATGAAGTAGGTTTAAAACCGCTTAGTATGCAAGCATGCTAAAACCTTTTCTATAAGGTTTTTTAAAACTGCAATATATAACATAATTGCTTTTGATTAAGTATTACAATACGATGTGATTATTAGGAAATTCATTTCACACAACAGTGAAAATGAGCCTGTTTAAAGATGGCAAGTCAATTATCACAAGCTACAGTAATCTCTGATCCCTAGAATTAATCTGAGCTCTAAATAATTACTGAGCTTTAATCAGCTAGTGAAATGTTTTGCATTTCTCTTTGATTCTGCTTTATGAATGACTAATAAATTAATATTTCTGTACGGAAACAGAAATAAAAACTCAAAACAATTAGATAATTCCATTTTGAATTTTGCTACTGAACTGTTAAATACAACCATCAATCTTAGATCATTTTGTGAAACCTTTCTTAGGATTTAGCTCCCAAGTCAGTTATTTTGTATTTTCAAGAAACCATATAATGACAATTCTGCTGATTTGGTCATAAATTATCTTCTTCTATTACTATTTGCTTTCCAGGCCATTCTTGAATCTCCAGAAAAGCAGCTAACACTAAATGAAATCTATAACTGGTTCACACGAATGTTTGCTTACTTCCGACGCAACGCAGCCACGTGGAAGGTAAGCTTTCTGTCAGGCCTGTTTGATCTTGGACCCTGATGTTGGTAGAGCAGTTTGTTTTGACAAAATGCATTTACACTATAAAGAAGTTACATTTATATTGTTTTGATATAAACAATGCTTTCTAAGTATCCCATCTTTAGGAGTATTTGAGTGGGAGAATATTTCCATTGTGACTAAAAGGCTAGGATGAAAATAGCACTAGCATTTGATGTGTGGACTGGCCAACCAGTAAAAGCATTTCTCTCTGGCTGGAGTCTGTAGGGAGAAAGCTGATGCCACTCTTGCCCAAATGTTAAGGTTGTAACCACAGTCGATATTCCAGGGGTGCATAGATAACTTGTGCTCTTCACCAGTAGGAAACTAGAGAAATGATCAAACTTGACACCGCCTTCAGTGGCTAGATAGAAGCTCATTAACCCAGTTAGTAGAGAAAATTGCAGTCCAAATACTAGCCCTGGATATGAGAGTTATTACAAGAGAATACAATGTATTATGAAAAGGGTTTTTTTTGTTTTATTTTTAAGTGAGGAGGGTTGTAAATACACTGAGGAGGAAAAGTAGCATCTAAACTATGGAACTTCATTACAACACTGTTCGCTATAAAACATGTCAGGTCCCATGGCTCCCTGTTGGATGCCCCCAACAAAGCTTGGTGTCACGTGGCACGCCGCCTTCCTCATTCCCAGCTCAGCACTTGGCCATGGATTCCATCGGTATTTGTTCTGTTATATGAGAGCTGGCTCTCGTAGATTTTTTAACTTTCCCATTTTCAATTTATTAGTGTCCGATATCCATGCTGATAGAGGGAGACGTGTACACTCTGATGTTTCTATTTCATTACTACCTGGAATTCTTACAATTCCTGAACTCCAAATTATTTGGAAACATTTAACGCAAACATTTTAGGATACGTTTACCTGTCGTTAGTCTAAATATGATACGGATTGATTACAGGATGCAAGGGAAACTTGCTTTACTTGAAATAAATGCCTGCCTTCTTTTAATTCCTTAATTTTATATGGGGGGAAAACAAAAGCAAAAAAAGAAAAAAAAACCAGAAAAACACATTTACTATGTTAAGTCCTGATAAATTAGTATTTTAAAGGAGAAAGAGTATAGCTGTAGAATTAATTCATCAACTTTACAGAGACTGTTATGGCCCAAATTAGCCTTTCATTTTTAGTAAGACACAGGAGCACCAAAGGGAACCTATGTTTAAAAATCTCACCTTCTTTTCCTCAGCCTGCCTTGAGATAAAATATAAAGGATCTTTAGTTATGAATGTTTTTAAAAATTTAGAAAGCAGAAGCAGGAAGCAGACATTTTCTTGAGATTGCCTTTTATAAATAGAAATGATCAAATTTAAAAATAATTACCAGTTGTGAATATAATATTGAAGCTCAGATCTTCAGATTGAATTTTTTCATTTTGCAAATGATAGGAAAAAGTGTCATTAATATAAACAACCCCAGAAGAAGTACTTAATGACTCATAAATACATGTAATTTTCTCTATGTGTCCTTATTTGTACTGTGATCTGAGACAAGAGATGAAATGCCCAGCGAAAGTTATGTCTGAAAAGAGTTTTTTTAGCTTTTTTGAAAATTCTTTAATTTCTGGTTGCTTTCTGCTCAGATGGGCAGTCTTGGAAAACCAAACTTAAGTTTTGGCTTTGTGCTGTTACTTACATGACTATATTGTTCAGCCAGGTCAACAGAAACCCTTGGGAACTTTTTATCAGAAGTAGCTTCTAAGCTCTTTTAATTCTGTACATTTTGATACTTATTGTAAAATACCAGACAATGGCTGGCTGTAGTGGCTTACACCTGTAATTCTAGCACTTTGGGAGTCTGAGGCAGTTGGATTGCATGAGCTCACAAATTTGAGACTGGCTTGAGCCAGAGTGAGACCTCATCTATAAAAAAAGAAAGAAAAAAGGAAAGAAAAGAAAATAGCCAGGTGTTGTAGTGGGCGCCTGTAGTCCCAGCTACTTGGGAGGCTGAGGCAAGAGGATCACGTAAGCCCAAGAGTTTGAGGTTGCTGTGAGCTGTGACACCACAGCACTCTACCAGGGGCAACAAAGTGAAACTGTGTCTCAAAAAAATAAAAATAATCAGTACTTAAATTGGGAGCAATGTCAACTTCTCTCCCAGTTATTCTCCTATGTAAATACATATTCTGTCTGTATTTTTAAAGGAAATTTGGCTTTATTTATTTATTCCACCTCAGTTTTGTTCCAGTAAATAACCAGACTTCACATCCTATACTACTATGCTTTTGTGTAGCATAAGAAAGAAAATGTTACTTAAAGGCTAGACTACCATATATATGCAAAGAAATTTGTCCTACCAAGTAAAATTATGACATACCAAGTGTTTGTAGTTTTGTTTTGGTTGTTTTTAAGCAAACCCATCAAACCTTTTGAATGAGGTATCCTTTGGCAGTCACCTGGGTACCTTGAACCTGCTCTAGCTATGCTGACGTTACTCAGCACTATCTGGGAATTCTGGGAATCTTCCTTGTGAACAGTTCATCACACCATGCAATAAAACGCATCATTATTGTCTAAATACTCCCCATGTTGAGAAGAAAAATTATTACGCACCTCAAATTCTCTCCAATTGTGACTATCCAAAAATTGAAACGTCTCTCAACATAGCAAGATCTGCCACCTATGAAGTTAATTCAAGAAGGAAATACTGCAGGCGGTGGAAGGGAGGGCTGGTCAGTGTCTGCACAGCCGCAGGGTCACTGGGATGGAGTGAAGGCTTAGAAGGCGGATGGAGTGTGATCCACTTCTCCATGTGTGTGTCCACTTCTCACGCCCCAATTGAGTCACTCACTTTATACAAGAAGAAAATTTTAAGTAAATGAGCTGGGTCTCTTTGCAATGTCCTCGTGCCCAGTGTTGAGTCTAGATCAGTAAGTCCAACCAGGCAGGACTAATGAAGCCGTGCTAGTTACTGTACCCAGTAAGGGTTGTAGGTTTTTCTGAAAACTCAAAGGAAAGATGAAATGTGAAAAAGCTCTTCATCTTTGAGTTGAGATCTTCCATTCTGATAGATTACCGATGTCAAGGGTCTTAGCTTAGGAATAACCAGAAAGGACTTTTCAACCATCAAAGAAGGAACATGCATCTGTAGAAAACATCAGCTCCAGGAATAAAGTCATTTTGCCATTGAGAGTTCTGCTCATGTGTTCCTTTGGCATTGGCTCAGTTAATTAAGGCTCTTGTTCATAGTTAGGGCCAACTCTCACATATATTCCAGAAGGTAAGACAGAGCTTGATGATGGATACTGATCCCTTGGGGGTCAGTTCACCCCCTGATCCTGTCAGCTGGCTATACGAGGTGTTACTCTCAGTGGTAAAATACAATTTAGAGTTCTTCTTAATAAAACTGATGGAAGTTTTTAAAGCTAGAAGCTGTCAAGAACAAAATTGTATTTAGCAGTGTTAACCAAGTCTTCATCATTCATGGTTTAAAAAAAAAAAAAAAACCCTTTGTTATGGGAGGTGGGTGGGCTTAGAAGGGACATTTCTAAGCTTTGCATGTTTTCTTATTTTGAAGTCATAGTAACAGTATTTTCAGATTTGTACTGTGAAACCTATTTTGGATGATATGCATACTTATTACAAATATTTCTTCTGGTTAGAAATTACCAGAGACTACACTAAAATGCCAAAGTACAATTAATTCATAATTTTGGTTTATTTTTGCTCTTGGAAAAAATACCCTTAACCACAGAAGGTCATCCTCGGGGGTGGCAGCTGCAGCTCTTGGGGATGGTTTTACAAATGTGGACTGTTAGGCTGAATTTACTGCTGTTTTTGGAGTCTTTTTCTTATAGAAAATGTAAATGTTCTCTCTTTTATACTTGCTGCAGAATGCAGTGCGTCATAATCTTAGCCTTCACAAGTGTTTTGTGCGAGTAGAAAACGTTAAAGGGGCAGTATGGACAGTGGATGAAGTAGAATTCCAAAAACGAAGGCCACAAAAGATCAGTGGGTACGTCCACCATGTTTGAACTTCTTAGCCTAGCTTGGATTGTGCTAACAAGTATAACGTAGAGGCTTTGGCTGCTAGATGGTGTTAGACCAAAGAACTGGTTTCACGTTGTCTCAGTTAAGGGAAGCAAAAAAGCATTTCATCCCTCCTGTTTTGTATGCCCGCCAGTCCCCCTGCCCTGCTTGCTGGTCTTTGTTGCATCACATGCTAGTAGCTTTTAGGTGGCAATGCATATTAACCCTCACAAACCATTTGCTTATGCTTATTGCATTTTATTTTCTTTTTCCTGTTCCCTGTATTGGATGTCTGTTCTGCCCCCAACCCCGTCTCCTTTTGTTGCCACTCCATCTCCTTTGCTGCTGCTCCTACCCCAGGGTGCCATTCGCACCAACCTCTCACTGCATAAGTGCTTTATCAGAGTAGAGGATGAGTTTGGGTCCTTTTGGACAGTTGATGATGAAGAGTTTAAACGTGGCCGCCATATTCAACGAGGCCGTCCTCGCAAATACTGCCCCGATGAAAACTTTGACGAGCTTGTCGCACAGTAAGAGCCTTTACTTGCTTTTGTTTTTTTTTTCTGCTGTTGCTTTGGCTTTGCATGGTTGACTCATCCCATGTAGTTCTGCATTTCACCAATAGCAGTGCCACAGCTTTCTGCAACGAAACTAAATTGTGTTGATTTGTACTTGCATTGCTCTTGTTTCTCTTTGGAACACCAGTGCCTTGAATAATGCTTTTTTGACGTCTTTAATGCAAATGTTGGTTGTATCTTGATTCAGCAGCTTACGGGGACCCTATAATTAAATACTTTTGCTTAACCCATAATTCCTCAAAGTAAAAAGGATATTTTTGGTTAGAGTTAAAATGTGTGCTGTTGGGGTAAAAATTCCTCCTTATTTGTTCACTCGGTATAACAATGTAAATGTAATGAATGATTAAAAATGGTCCAAGCATAGGAAAAAAATTAGTAATACACACATACTCCCTTCAAAGGCCACTGCTAAATGCAGGTTATTTCCTGCTGGAAGGCACTTTTCCCTCAGTGTGTCCTATATAATTTTTTAGTATTTTTATTTTTACCAGGCTGGAGATTTTCTTAAAACAATATTTTGACTTTACGTGGTCAGCAAATGCATACGCATCAAACATTCCCGGATCCTCCCAGATCTGGCTATATAAGAAAGCTACCAACCCAGCCTCTCACCTTACGTGGAAACAGCCCTCCCCGGCATACCCTTCTCTCCACTTCCTGGTATTCCTCTTAACAGTCCTTGTAGAGCTCAAATCAGGAAGATAGAGATTCTTCCCATGTCCCCCCAGAACTCCCACTATCAGCTCCTGGACATTGCCAGCCCCCAACCTCCTGGCCACTCCCTCTTGTTGGGGTCTGGAGTCTGGGGAACTGCTAAAAATTTGTAGCCCCGCCCACTACTACTAAAGCCAGAATTTTACACCTAGTTTCCTTGAACAGCAAAAGTCCATCCCTGCACATGCACACTCAGACCAGCCCTGGGAGTAGGGAGCAACTAGGGAGAAAGCCTGAGTTTTCTTTGGTTTTGTTAACTGGGGGAAATTTCTAATTTAGAAGGACACCAGCAAGCTTAAAACAAAACTTAGCTAGGACCTCGGGAGTCGATGGTGTTTAACTCTGAGTCTTTATCTTTTTCTTACACAGTAACCCTTCCCTTATTAAAAACATGCAGAGCGGCCACGCCTACTGCACACCTCTCAATGCGGCTCTACAGGTAAGATTGATGGCCGTCCCACAGACACAGCAGAGGCACAGGTCTCCCCACTCATTTCAAAATATATTAGCCTCGCTCTAATTAGATATTAAATTTTAATTCCGTTAAACTTTTTTCTTAAGTGCACAAAGCATCGTGCTCCCTGGAGGCAAACACATCGGGCTGCTTCAGCATTAGCGGGATGCTTAGCATTTTGAATATTGTGGCAAAAAAATTAAAAGTTCACTTATTAATATTTATCAGCAGTATCATAATTTCCATCCTCTTATTTCAGAATTTCACTTGAGGCAAAAATACCACAAGTGTAATTACTCTAGCACAGCTATTAATGTGCCGGATGATAGGCCAGCGTGTCACATGACCTTCTATTGTTCAAGGCTTTAAAGAGAAAGCAGAGCTTTGTGTTTCTTCCTCTTCTTTATAAAGTCGATATTTTAGCATCTTTACTTTGGTCTTGGGGGGTGGCAATCTTAAGTTCGGTTCACTTTGTGAAAGTAAACTGTTTTTTGTTTAAATAACAGAGGTGTTTAAAAAAAAAAAAGAAAACCTCTTCAGATTTCTGGCAGATGGTTCAAGATTACATAATAATTGCACAGACTGTTTCCTACTGACAAACCCGAACGCTTGTTAGATCACCAGTGGTATTGGGGGGTGGAGACACTGGTTTTGAACAAGAAAGAGGACACTACACTGATGTGAGCTATCAGGACAGCCCTGTGTGCAGCAGGGCTTGTATTCATTGCATGTCTCAGTTTTAAACTGGACAGAATAAGTAACTCCAGGGTCACTTCATTAAAGTACCAGGGTACAGTGCTCAAGTCCCCCTCCAAGAGCTCCTAGGTAGGCGGTATCCTCTTGGCCAGTGGTCCTGTTTGTTTTTGACCCTCCCCAGACTGTTCTAGAGCTCGGGCCAAGAGACTCCTGAGAACTTTTAAATGACATGTTCTATAGATAAATCTGACATTTTTGTAATCTCATACCCTCAGGCTTTTGCAGTATGCATTCTCAGTGGGGGATATACCACCCCAAATTGGTTCTTGTGTCCTTCTACAGGGCCATAATACACAAACAGATGTTAAATTTCTTGGGGTGAGGGCACACAATGGAGGACAATGGAAAAATGATGGAGACTGTGGTCATTTGGGGACTAGGATGCAGGGAAGAGGCATTAACAGCCACCCTGGTTCTGTCTGTTCATTAAACAGACACACAGTGAGCACCTACTCTGGGCCCTGCTGAACGCTTTCCCACATCACTGGCAGATTCTTGAGGGTCCTGAGAATGGAAGGTACGACTTTCACAATTGGAGTGTAGAGGCAAATTCATGAGACTTAGCATTTCAGTAATTATATTTATTTATTTTTAGCCAGATTTAATAGGAGAAACCGCTTTCTGTGTTTCTTTTAATTATTTGTCGTTTACACAGTAACTTTAGAAGAGTAAATGAAAGCACGCTTAGATGCCGCCACTGTAAATACCATTCATTAGTAACTTATTTTCCCCGGAGTCTTGTGAAATGTGAATTTAAAGGCTGCTCTATCTGGAATAGTATTAAGATTACAAGCACATTTTATACATTCATGAGGCAGTAAGGCAAAAAAAAAAAAAAGTGATCCTCCATCCTTTGGATTCTCTTAACTATGTGACTAATTTCAATTAGTATGCTTTATCCTTTTAGAGCCATTCACATTTCATCTCCCCAACATTTGTTTTTGGAATCCTCTGCACTCTTTCTTGTTTCCTGTGGTAGCCCCCAAACTGTCTTGCAATTTTTCCGAGAACTCATTAGGTCCATAATGAGGCAAGGTCAATAAATTGATAAAAATTCATGATTTGAGGAGTGGGTTTTCTCCCCCTCTCTTCTACGAGTTTAGATCCTTGATGAGTAGACAGTCACATAAGACAACTTTCTACTGTGCAAATTAAATAAAGCTCTGCCAGCAGGCCTTCCTTTTTTCCATTATCGCCCATTTCCATTTTTCAAGACAAGTAAAAATAATAGTGGAACAATATCTTTAAAAAATTACTAGAGCAACATAATGCATGATATACAATATATAAAATAGGACAGCAGAATCCACTACAGAAATAAAACATGGGACTTGGGACAGATTGCATGATGCTCTGAAAAAGTGAAGTAACTAAGGGTAACCGCAAAGCTTCGTATTTATAGACTGCCTTTCTCCCCGAGGATCTCAGAGCGGTTAGTGTTCCAGGAGTGATGGTACTTGGGGACTTCTGCACCATTACTTAAATAATTTCATTTTTTGGCAGAGGTGCCGGTTTGATATGAAACCACATACTGTGTGCAGGACAGTTTATTTAATTAAGCCCATTTTGTAATACACCTGCCTCTAAGTGGACATCAACTGTGGCAAAGAACTGTTTTGTTAGGCATAAGCAGTTGGGGAAATTTTTGCTAACTTTAGGTGGGTTGCTCTGATCATTTGCTCAACAGAGAGTATTCAAGAGGCTCGGCTGCAGATCAGGCCCTGGGATTGCTTTGTGAGCCAGTTGATCATTTTTTAAAAGGAACAACGCTGGTTTTCATCACTTGTATCTTTCTTGTTTTGAGAACCAAGGGATCAATAGAAGTGCTTACCTTTGGATGCCTTTCAACCCACTGTGGCTATTGGGCTTCAGCCCATGTTCTGTGATCCATTCCCAATGAGCTACGGCCTTGACCTAGAATACTTTGAGAGCCAAAGAGAATAAATATCCCAGTGAGGTTGGCCCCTCTATGGCGTGACCAACACGAGGACATCAGTATGTCCTGATGAACATGGTTTTAACGAACATTTTGATTTTGTCTTCTCAATTTTTTACTTTGGGGAAGTGATTAAAATATCAAGCCAGTTCACAATCCCACTTTTGCCACACTCTGACCATATTATAGTGAAATTAGCTTATGAGAGCTGATCTGGTGATAATTCCAGAGGAAAGAGTCTCCACTCGATGGTTCCAGCACAACTTCCATGACCGTGAGAGGCATGACCACTGTGTTGTCTCAAGGAAGGGCAGTTAAGATGCTTGTCCAGCTGCAGTTTGCAAAAAAATAATTCTGGCAACTGTTCTGCCCCAAAATGAAAAAATGCTTTATTGCAATTATAAGAGAGCTGTTGAAAGAAGCACTTGATGCAAATTACTTGACAAAAGTGTGGGGGAGTCGGGGAATGTTCAGATTTCCTGTTCATCAAAATGAGTTCACCACATTTGGAAATGAAAACAGGATTCTCCCCCAGCTTTTTAAAAGAAGGCAGTTCTGTACATTTAGAAGTGGAGAAAGGGAAGAGCTGTGGGATTGCAGAGGGCCTAGCTTTGAAAGCGTCCGTTAGCCGTACTGTGTTAAGTGCGTGTGCAGGTCTGTGTCGAGGAAGCCCTGGCTGCGGAGGTTGTGAAGTGAGTGAGGCTGCAGTCTCGGACTCGGCAGACTTCCTGCCGCCCCGCTCTGCACTTTCCTTCTCTGTTATTTGGCTCTTTCTTCCTCTTTAGAGCCAGGATTTCTAGAGCAGTTTGGACTCTTGTATGGCCAGCCAATTGAAGACACTATGCCAGACTGTCTTGTGATTGTACTTTTTTTCTCATTAGGATGGAAAACCAGGCATGGTGTTGTCTGCCAGAGGACAGTTTTGATAAATCTCGGTCCAATTACAGCTGCCGGTTTTTGAAAGTGTGTCCTCTTTAATTAAACGAAAAGTCACTGGGTCATAATCGCCACCCAAATGAAACAAACATGGAGCCTTCATCCCAGTGGTGCAGTTAACTGTTGTCTGCATTTCAGGCCGGGTGGCCCTTCTATTCAGATGGAGGAGGAAGCACAGGAAGTGAGCCATGTCCTACCACACAGTTCACAGTTCAGGGTTTCTTCTTCTATTTTTTTTTTTTTTTTTTTGCGCTGACACTCATTTGGAGTGACTTTGTCACCTTTAATATCAATACCAAAAAGAAATATGATTTAGAGCTGCTTTTTGCTGGTGGTTTTTTTTTCTTTCGTCCTAAAATCCCAGGCAATTGTCTGAGTCTGAAAGATAATGTGGTGTTACTTTCAACCAGATATCTCAAACCGCACTATAAACAGATTCAAAAATCATTAAAACAGGAGTGAGGGGGAGATAAAAATTGATTCCCATGCTGTAATTCCTTCCTTCTTCTATAGGATCTAAATGTTTATGGAAGTTCTCATAAGTTTGAGCAGAGCAGCCAGAATAATCTGATCAAATTTCTAATATCCAATAGTGGAGTCATCAAAATGGATAAAGAAATGAAAATCCCATTATCTTTCACAGTGATCTGGAAATATTCCGTTCCTCTTGAAAAAAGGCATCCGATAAACCTCGTATTAGATAGCCTTCTCTACCTAACCATGTGACTCTGCCAAGCCAGATGGAATCGAGTCCATCCTCGCCTGGTGGGACAGGTGCCACAAGGCATTCTTAAGGCGACATTCTTCCACACCTCTTAGAAAATTGTACTTACTTGCCAACCATGGTACCATTAACTTAAACTTGAAGGTGGTTTAATATTACCTGTAACAGTTTCCTTGTCTTACATACCCGTGTCTTCATAAATCTTCTCTTGGTTGATGGCAGGCTTCAATGGCTGAGAATAGTATACCTCTATACACTACCGCTTCCATGGGAAACCCCACTCTGGGCAACTTAGCCAGCGCAATACGGGAAGAGCTGAATGGGGCGATGGAGCATACCAACAGCAACGAGAGTGACAGCAGTCCAGGCAGATCCCCTATGCAAGCTGTGTGAGTATTGTCCACCCAACCAGTCTTTGCCTTTAGGCCCCGGTCTGTTTTATGTGCACACAAGCCCTGCTCTTGGCTCTTTCTATTACCTTTCCTGCAATTTCTGATTTCCCAGAACCCAGGTAGAAGCTTGTGCTTCTAGAAACGTTCAGCTCCATTAGTGCATAAAAGGACTGACTTGCCCATAAAAGCGGCCAGCGTCATCCAGTCCTAAAGCAGCGCGCACAGCCGCGAAGTGAGAAGCATACTTGCTTTCTCCCGTCTGCGTCCCAGGTCATGGTTTCAGTCCCAGCACTTTCTTCTTCCCAAATTGAATGTGCATCTCTGGGAAATAGCCTGTAGCTGGGTCAGCTTTCAGGCACGCTGAACTCAGGGGGGAGAAAAAGATGCTTGTTTACTTGGTGGTGTGACAAGCTCAACCGCAAATGCAATGCCACAGCGTCATTACCACACGTTAATGATGGCACAAATGAAAGGCGGCATGATTTATAGATTGCTCTTAAAATATCAAAAGGAAAATTAATAGGAGCATTATAGCAGCAGACGGCAGTATAATGAGTGCACATATAACTGAATGAAGTGATGGGCGACAGTCGCCCATGCTGAATGTGAATGGCACCAGACCAGGCCGACCGTGGGACAGACAGAGGCCATGAGGCTGGGATGGCCCTGTGGGCGGGTGATGGGGGAGAATTGATGAGACTGTGACAGCCCCCTCTCCCCCAGGAAAAGTTTTAAACAGAGAAAAGAAACCACACGTTATTCCAAATGATTGCATTTGTGGGAAGCGCTGTGAAATGACAGGCTCTCCCTTTGAGTCGTTTCTGCGAAACTGTTGCCCACTTTCAGGGACCAACCCATTTAGTGTTTGCAGAGCTGTCAGCTCCTAGAATAGGTCACTTGTCTACACGTTCTTTCTGAATTACTGACCAACATCTTTCTTTTAAGATAATTGGGTGCTAGGAATGGAAAATATGACCTGTAACAATTAGGAACAGAATGAATTGGCATTTAATGACAAAAAAGTCATACCTGCCAGAATGATGATGGGAGGGCGTGGGGGAATCTGAAATTTGATTTTCTAGCATTTGCATTTCATTCCCAAAGTGCTTTCAGAAGGATCTTTAACAATGGAAACAATCATTTTGAATTTATATGAACAATATCTTAGCATTGTCTTCATAACATTTTAAGAATGTGTTTCTCTTTTACACTGATGTCGCTGTATTTCATCCTTTCTAAAGCTGCCTGCTGTTTCTGACTCATTGTCTTCACTCTCATGTTCATCTTTAAATCATTGTCATGACAGGAGGATTGACTCAGATATTAAGGAAGTTCAGAGCAACTGTAAATTGGTATAGAAACCACTTCAGGAAACCGTCATTAGAGCAAAACTGTCTGAAGTTATGGAGTGGAAGAGAGATTATTTGTCTTAATCTGTACCAACTCCAAGGTTTAGTTGATGTTTATTCCTATTATTTAGTATAAATGATTATTAAAACAAATAGAAAAAAAGATATTTGGGTACAAGCCTCCCAGGCAACAGTCTAAAGTGATAATAATTTTGCTGCACAAAATAAAGGCATTGTGAAGTTCAACTTTGAATTAACCCCCCTCCAGTATCATTGAAAAGCATGTTTTATGGCAGTTGCCATAATTTTTAATGAAATGAAGGTTTCAGCATTTTTTTTTCAAAGAAACCCTACATAAAGTCGTCAAAATGTGTTGCTCAAATCTCACAGGTTTACGCTGTTTGCTAGATGTAATTATATGTCAACAGCAGATTCCCTGTGCCTGCTATCAGTGTCAGAGACTGTTACTCTTTTTGACCTCATACTTCCATTAAGTGAATTCTATAATGACATAGTTTTCATCCTTCAATATGCATTACCCTGCTATGATGCAAATTGTTTTTTAACTGTTCCAGTCTATTGGAATAAATCAAGCTGTAAACTTTACATCCCGGCTTGAAGGACCTTGTTAGGAAGCAGCCTGGCTAATACCTAGTGTGGAAACAGAACTCTTCATCCTTAGCCTTTCTGTGACTCTCACATACCACTCCGTTTCGTCTCTCCTTTGAAACACTAGAAAGTAGTCACATAATTATGGCTTTAGGGTATTATGCTTTTATCCTGATAGGAGCTAAAGGAGCTACAAAGCAAAATACTCCACGCTGTGCATACACCCCCAGAACACACAATGCTGTTAAACACCAGTCAGCTTTATTTAAAAACTCTCATGTTCCCAGAGTGGCTAAACAAAGGAATTACTCAGATGTAAGGAGAAGGGAAACGTGTGGTTTGGCACACATGTACTCACTGGTAACCCTTGCAGAAGTCGGAGTCTGGGTTGGGGACAGGCATCGTCTGCACGGGGGTAAAGGTGCATCATGCAGCTCAGATTTCTTGGAGCCAACATGAGTATGTGCAAACATAGTGTCTTAATTATCTGAAACAGATCTTACATGAAACTCTCCTGTTTTATTCTGTGAAGCACCTCATGCCTCTGCTGCTACATTGGCCACACCCAGGGGCATCTGCTAGTATCCAGAAATTTCCTGAAATTGGATTTCATGTCTCTGGAGTTTTAAGAGACCTTAATCTAACCAGGTTGTCACACAGTAGATGTAGCCAGTTATCATTTGCTGGGAATCCACTCTGTGTTAAGCGACTGGTATCCAGCCAGCAGGCATGACAGGATCATTACCTGTGTCTTTGGGATAGTAAAAATCTTAATGAATTTTGGCCACCAATCTAGGAGGAGAATTTTTGTTTTTATTTCTTTTCTTCTATAGGATTTTTATTTGGTTTTTTCTTTGTTTGTTTTTGTTTTGAGACAGAGCCTCACTGTGTGCCTTGGGTAGAGTGCTGTGGCGTCATCATCACCCTCAGCAACCTCAAACTCTTGGGCTCAAACGAGCCTCTTGCCTTAGCCTCCCAGATAGCTGGAACTTTAGATGCTCACCATGATACATGGCTGTTTTTTCTATTTTTAGTAGAGATGGGGTCTCACTCTTGCTCAGGCTGGTCTCAAACTCCTGAGCTCAAGCTATCCACCTGCCTTGGCCTCCAAGACTGCTAGGACTTCAGGCATGAGCCACCATACCTGGCTGCTTCTGCAGTTTTTAAAAATTGTGATGTGTCATAGTTGTACATATTTTGGGTGTACATGTGATATTTTGAGACTTACATACCATGTACTTGCATGAAAGAAACTTGTATGGATGATTCAGAAAGGACTCTGTCGATCGAAATAATGGACCATAACACAATCTGTCTCAAAACTTGCCTTGCGGCCCACGTATAATGATCAAATCAGGGTAATTGGGTAAATAAAATATTCTTTCATGTTCTGAACTTTTTTTTGGGGGGGGGAGGTGTACCTGAACCTGATTTTTTTTTTAGCTTAGCAAAACATTTGTTAAAATCTAAAATTACAAAGCAAGAACTTTATTAAGATGGCTCTATTTTGAGGGGGCTCTCCAACTTCTTTCTTGCTCCCCCAAACCTTAAATGATCTTACATCATCAGATTCTGGTTTGTAAATCTGAAAATAGTCTAAAAGAAAGGAAAATGTTGATCTGTAAGACAACATTTAAGCTTCAATATATAGCTAAGGAAAACACAGACAAATGCCTATCCAATGGACATCACCAGAATCGTGTCTTTGGCAGACATAGAGTGATTTATGAAGTCACGATTCTCAAACAATGAAAATATGAAACAAACGTGAAAAAATATGCACTGACACAATTTAAGGTACCCTACGCTTACCTTATTCCTGCTAAGCAGCAAAATATTTTTGTAAACTGCTCATGAATTTTAGTCTGAGTTCATAGAGCCTTTGGAAATTATTATCACAACAAATCATAAGAACCATGAAGATGTTTTGTCCTTTGCTCCAACGATTCCATTCTTAGAAATTTATCCTAAGGAGGTAAATCAACAGAAGTAGAAAGATTAATGGATAAAAATGGCCCCTGTATTATACAAACAGTAAAGTGGAGATTAAAAAAAAAGGCAACCCTAAAATGCCCAGCATTAAGGGACTGACATGTCAACATAATGTAATCTCTGATAGGCATAAAAATTACAGCTGTAAAGTTGGCAAAATAAAAAGTTGGTTGCTGTGTTTGTAGTATGTAAAAATGTCACCCCAAATGGAAAAGGATTAGCACAAACAACAGCAAAAAAACTGGCCTTAATTAGGGGGTTATTTGGTGATTTTTTTTTTTTTTTAAGGACTGCTGATCACTATACCTAATTTTTTCCAGAGGAATGCTACTAGGACTTGCTTCAGAAGCACCACACCATATGCAGTCTCACAGGCCCGGTGCCTAGAGGGACACTGCACTTTTCTGTCATTGTTTTTATAGAGATGAGGTCTCTTTCTATGTCACCCAGATCGGCCCCAAACTCCTGGACACAGGCTAACCTTCCACCTTGGCCTGTGGAGTAGCTGGGACTAGCACTAGTTTTACTATTCTTATTTATCTTAAAATTTTTAATTTTTGAGCCAGGAACCCCACATTTGGGCTCCACAAATTATGTAGCCAGCCCAAGTCTTACCATAGAAACACAGATTAAACAAGACCATTAAAAGTTTAAAAATAGAGAGCCATATGTAAAAATGTACTATAATGCAACTTTGCTGTATTTTGTTTTTGCAAATAGCCTTTAAAAATAAGGGCATGGTTTTTTTTAAGCTATTTATCCAACATCTAGACCCCCAAACCCTCCATATGCTCTGCTAATTTTAGAGTCAGTTGATTGTGAAGGCTCACGTCTTCAAGGGCAGTCCAGAGCACTCCTCTGTTTGTTTTTAAATGGTGCAAGGGGCCTTTGGGGTTTGCATACAGCATCAATTATTTAGGAATCCAACTATCCCCAGTACCTCTTATTACTAATACTTGATAATGTCAATTAAAAAATTCCTCCCTTCTGCAGCCTGTCCCAGAGATGGTACTCTTCTAAAAAAAAAAACAAAAAAAAACAAACTTGAATGGTTCTTTTGCATATCAAAAGCTCTGTAACAGAAAGTAATTTGTATTTGCAAAGGATCCCTTGTAAATATGATTTACGAACAACATTTCTCAATTGTTATCACAGTGGTTTTGTGTGATCGCCCTGGTCCCCTTCGGGTGAGCCGTGCGCTGGTCCATAATGAGAAAGTTGGCAGATCTCATCTCAGCCACGCACATCCCACTGGCTGCTGCCAGCCAGGGCCTCATGTTTTTGCCTTGTTTACAGCTGACAGCATTATTATTCTGATTGGGGCTCTGCTTTCTTATCATATTGTTGTGTTGAGCGAGCCTTTTCCTCTCCGTTTGTGTTTCCTGGCAGGGCTTTTCTTGCCATATTGACAGTTTGTAAAAATATGCATTAATTTGGAGTTTCAAGCATGTATCATGGTGTCTCTTTGCTGTGTTTGCTTGAAGTTGATTAATGATAGAACCTTGCTTGGGGTCGTCCTCTGGAGAGTTCTTTCACAGGTTCTGCATGTTAACTAGCAAAGCAGAACACACAGCAAGCCATGATTAGCCCAGCCTCCTGTGTACACTGGTCCCCACAAACCACACCATTGGATTACAGATTCGTATTTTGCACAGTTATTTGAAGATTGATATTTATCCACTCAGGATGCTGCTGCATATGAGGTCTTCTTATCTCGTACTCACTGTGTGGTCCCAGGACCAGCAGCAGCACTGGAGGCTGAGTCTCGAGCCCCACCTGTACCTGCTGCATCACACAATGCGTTTTATTTTTTATTATTATTATTTTTTTTGGAAACAAGAGTCTCACTCTTGTCACCCTGGATAGAGTGCTGTGGCGTCATAGCTCACAGCAACCTCAAACTCCTGGGCTCAAGCAGTCCTCTTGCCTTAGCCCCCCAAGTAGCTGGGACTACAGGCACCTGCAACAATGCCTGGCTAGTTTTTCTGTTTTTAGTAGAGACAAGGTCTCACTGTTGCTCAGGCTGGTCTCCATCTCTTGAGGTCAAACATTCTACCCACCTCAGCTTCCCAGAGTGCTAGGATTACAGGGGTGAGCCCCCAAGCCCAGCCACACAGTGCATTTTAACAAGGGCCTCAGGTGACTGGAGTGCATGTTTAAGTGTGAGAAGCAACACTGGGGAGGACAGGCCTGAGTTTGTCCAGAGATGGATCATTCTAGAGCAGTGCTATCCAAAGACCTTACTACGCTGATGGAAAAGCTCCCTCTCTGTGCTGTCCAGCATGGTAGCCCCTGGCCTTCACACACTTGAAATGTAGCCATGCAACCCAGAAACTGGGCTTTAAATTACATTCAGTTTTCATTCATGGTAATTTGAAGAGCCTGGTGGGGCTAGTGGCTACTGGATTGGACAGTGCACTTCTGGAGTGTGGCTTTTACGTTGTCCCAAACACTCGAGTAGTACAGGGCTGGGAAATGCCCTCAGTGAACCTTCGCTTGTTTTTCCAGGCATCCTGTACACGTCAAAGAAGAGCCCCTCGATCCAGAGGAAGCTGAAGGGCCTCTGTCTTTAGTGACAACAGCCAACCACAGTCCAGATTTTGACCATGACAGAGATTATGAAGACGAACCAGTAAATGAGGACATGGAGTGAAGGTCTGGGCGGGCCAACCCTGAAAATGAAGATTGGAAAAAGGAAGAGAAAAAAAAAAAGTCAAAAGTTAGCAGTGAAATTGTTCTCCATTTGTTGTACAGTCTGGAGGATTTTCACTACATTTTGACAACTCTGAAATGTGTTAACTCTTAGTGCCATCAAGAATCCCATTTGGGAGTATTTTTGATTTTTCTACTTTTTGTTGAAAAAAGGAATTTGTACTCTGTGCATTGGATGGACTTGTTTGGTACTTGGGATTTTCCTCTCTTAACAGTCAACATCAGTGTTGTAAATTTGCTAAACTGATTCACTTTTAGCAGCAGACTTTGAACTGCAGCCCTACCAGCGCTGGACACTGAAGTCGCCCGACAGAGCTTGTGCACCTGAGCTGCAGACCAAGCCTTTGCCCAGAACTTAAGGATTCCAATGGACGACCTATTTGCACAGTACTGCATGTTGATTATCACTGCCTTTACTCCTTTTTTTTTTTTTTGCTTCCAGTTGGGATGGGGAAGGCCTTTGTGTGTGTGTGTTGGGGGGGAGGGGTTAAAAATAATTATCCCAAACTTTTTAATGTATTGCTTTTTTTTTTTCTTCTACTATACCATTTTAAGTTCTGACCTCAGGCCTCCATTTGGGCCCATGGCCTCTTGGAGGCTTAAAGTTTTCTGTACCTTGTGATGAATGTTAATAGGTGTTTTTATTATACAAAGCTGAATGTCATTTCTCGTTTGTAGCTTTCTGTCACTCATTCCATCTTCCTTCAGACATCACCACGTTTCTCTAAAAAGTCAGAAAACATTCCATTTGGTCTATTTTCAAAAGAGTCCCAAACGCTGCGCTCTACACATGAAGGTCCTCACACAGATGTGACGTCCTGCCAGAAAGAGAATGAATGACAGAAAAAAAAGAGAGAGAGACACACACTCTAGGAACAATGCCGATTCATTGCATGAAGCAGTACTGGGGGTGGTCAGGGGGCTGTTTCAGATCTTCCTCTTTCTTTCACAGCAACCATCATTCTTAAAAATGCCACAGCATTCTACCAGCACAAGGAAACATAGGCGGCACTGAAAAAGTCTCCTATGAGACTGACAGATACGGTTGTGGAAGGCTCTCCTTGTGTAACCAAGTTGCCACAGGCTCCGAGTCTCAGTTATAACTAGTGTGGGTTGCTTTCTTTACAAAGTGGCCCCCAAACCCGGCTTCCCTGTGCAACTTTGCTGAAAGTGGTGACGGCGGCGGCACAGAGATTATACATCAGTTCAGACCTGCTTGGTGGCGTTACTCAGTTGAATGTGAATTGGATTTCAGATTGAACTTATTATGGGAGTTAATGAGGACTGAGTTCAGCAAATGCTCCAGTGCTAATTTCAAATGCACAAATCCGGTACTGCAGTTCAGTTTGTTAATGCAGTAGTGTCACACCAGCCCAGTATCAGAAATTAACAGGAGAAGACAGACATCAGGGGGCGCTGGGCTCATCCCAGCCTCGGGCTTTTGGGAACTGAGCATGGCATGCAGAAGGTGATGGTTCTAGGTCAGCACAACCTCAGTGCTCAGAACCCCTCGACACTTCCACCCTGCACCCACTTCCCCGTCATTTATTTATCTAGGACCGTAGCTTTAGTTTTAGTTGGAGAGCCTTTCAAAGCTTAACTTATATTCTTTGTACCTTTTTTTTTTCCTAAAATTACCAAAGATATTACACAAAGGTAAATTATGTTCTCTGTTTTATGCTTTATCTGATAAAGCCAAATATCCTCTTATTGTTGATCAAAGGAGGCAAAAGAATTTAGAGGCAAATGACAAGATTATAGGCTATTGCTTACCTGAGAAAGAGAACTGCTCCTTCACTCTAGAGTAAATTTAGAAGACCACGTAGATAATGAAACCAAAGTTGTTACTTTTTTCTAATAGTTTTTTTTTTTTTTCTTTTCTTCCCTATACCTCTTTAGAGACCAAAACCCATTCTTAGAAATTATGGGGCTTCTCAAATAAAAATAGGACACAGTATTAAAGGACCAACAGAAACAGGGAGTCCCATCTCAAAAATAAAAATAAATGAATGTATGCCACTGAAAATTAGGGTAGGCAATAAAGGAGACAGTTAAAGAGTCAGAACAGAAAAGCTTCCACAATTGAACAAGACCACATGATAGTGTTTCTAGAATTTAAACAAAAAAATTTTTTTAGAAAGATTGTATGCCACTTTTGTTTAAGGACCGAGCTGTGATTGCTGCATACGTTCTGGTTTATGTTGGCATGCATCTTCCAGTTGATTTTTGCTTTTGTTTAGTTTTTGTTTAGGCCTTTTAAGTCAGCATTTTTCATTTAAAAAAAAAAAGTAACACTCCCGTCCACTCATAAGCTTGGTACAAAAACTTCTTTGGCATTTACTTTTGACGCTTCACTCTGCTTTCTGTATAAAGGGCAGTCTGTGGTCACTCAAGCCTTTTTTTTTTTACTTTTCCAGGCAGCTTCATGATGTACAGGCAGTAGCCAGACAGGTCAGGGGAAGGGGCCCTGTGCTTCTAAACTGAGTGGTTGCTGGTTAGTTTGGTATTCAAAAGAGGATAAAAATCTGGTAGATTAGTTCATTCTCAGCATGTGTAGCTAGACATGAGTAAAGATAACAGCATGAGAAACTGTTAGTACGCATACCTCAGTTCAAACCTTTAGGGAATGATTAAAATAAAAAAAAACATTTCACTCAGTTGCACTTAGTCGTATGTCTTGCATGCTTAGTCTAAAGACTGTAGCAAAAAAAAAAAAAAAATTAGATTTTACATATCTTTGCAGGTATCACAGCCTTGCAGAAGAACCAACTGAAAAAAAAAAAATTCTCAGGCTTTACAGCAAGCAAACTTCACTATGATTTTTACACTTCTGATTCTGTATCCCTCGGGGGTATTCCAGTCACTTCTTTAGGATGGGGTTTATTATGTTGTACATATATCCCAATGTGTCTGTGTGAATCTTTGTCTTTTTGGGGGGAGGGCGGAGGGTGGTTCTTTTTTTAGATACTGTTCCTAAAAAGGAATAAATGCATACACCTGTTTGTCAAAACACCTTTGCTTTTTGTGCAACTGCTTTATATTAACTATACTAAAAAAAAAAAGAATAGCTTTTGGGGGAAAAAAAACTACTGTATGTAATGGAATTGCAGACTATGCTGCCCATGTATTTTATTTAGTTATCCTTGCTTTAAGAATATTGGATGACGTTTCCTGACATGTGGGAGGGAGAAACTCCCTAACTTTTTTGTTTCTTTTTTTTATTTTTGCTTTTAAATTGTAACATAGTTGACAAGAATTTTTTTTCTGTTCTCATTGATTGGAGCATTTTGTACAGGTTTTTTTGGTGTGTGTGCGCGTGTGCGTGCGTGTGTTAATCTGTTTTTTGATACATTCCTACCCCTTGTGTTTATCCTACCACTGCCTTCCTGGCTATCTTAAACAAGTTCATACATTTGAAAAGAAAAAAAATGTTGTTTAAAAAAATGTTTTCTCCTGCTGCAGTAAATATTTTGCATGATGAAATTCCAGGGTCACACTTTTCAAAGTTTTATCATTGAAGTAGTGATTAATAATGGGGAGTGTCAAAACTATTGAACTTTTGTATAAAAAAGAAAACACTTTTACAAGGTGCCAAGATGTAAAGACAATTTGTTACTTCACCCCTACCCCCAAAGAAAAGCATACATCAGGGAGGTAGTCCTGTGTAGTCAACAAAGGCACTGTCAGGAGCAAGGGTCCACCTCCTTGTCCCTGGAGTCTGTCCGTGTAAGATGAATTAGGCTGCCACATTGGACCAGCCCCAAAACGGAATATCAAGGCTTATGTACCTACGTGAAGAGTGACCTCCAGCCTGCGACCTTCAGACGGCTCTAACACCATTCCCAGCATTCTGTCAAACCCAGTAGAGAAAACCTTGGATTCTTAACCCAAGATATGTTAATTACTAGCCTCTTTATCAGGAAAAAACAGTTAAATATTTCCTCTCCTTTTCACATTCCAGCTGAGTTCTGTTTCCAAGGGCACAGAGAAGAATGTGCTAAATAAGGATTTCGAAGTTTTTTGGTACCTTTTGGTTAATGGCATACCCTCCTGGTATTTCAGATGTTTTTAAAGTCAGTTTTGCTTTTTTATCCTGAGAATCAGATTGACAATTCTAAAGGCATCTGTTGGGCCCAGTGTAGCTCGTGCGATCTCTGCTACCCATAAGCCTTGCTGAAGATGGTACAGTCTGGACTGTGAGCATGGTGCTTCGTGTATATGTGCTGCCAGTAACAAGAATTCTTTTTGTTTTGTTTTGTTTTGATAAGGCATAAAAGAAACTCATTCCTTGACATCAACTGTAATTCCATCATTCCATGTCTGTGGATACAGACAATAAAAAAAATGTTGTGTAGTCAGTACTAATTACTGACATTATAGCATTCTCAAATGCAATAAAAATGCTGGTTGTTCACACTGGTAGTAAAAGTCGCCACAGCCTAAGTTCTTTCCCCTTCTGACCTGCTGATATTGTATGTTAGGCCTGTGCCTCTGGTTTATCACCAGCTGCTTACAATACAGAATTAAAATCAATCTTAACTAAAAGCTTTCATCATGAGAGAGCGCCGAAGCTCTTATCCTCAGGATTTCCAAGTGAAAAGTATCCACTTAAAGAATTGGAAAGGGAAAAAAAAGAGAGAGAGAAATGCTATCTTTTCTCTTGAGGAATCACACCCTTATTTTTCTTCATCAAATTTTATAAAGAAAAACAAAATGTTTAATAACTAGCATTTAGAGCAAACGAAAATTTCAGAGGAAAGCGATTTCATGAATAATTCATTAAAATTTCACATCTGCAAGATTAGTCATCCAAATAAAATGCTAATGTCAAAAACATGCACCGTCTATAAAATATTCTCATCAAGAAATCTTTTTGCATATAATGATAAATGCTTAGATTAGAACAAATGATTTTATAAAAATATTCTATCAAAAGTCTGCTAGATAACTATATTCAGTGAGGAAAACAGAACTCCAGCACCTAAATATTCTAGCAAGACTATCTTGATTTTGAGATTTTTCTGTATAATTGCATACCTTTAGAAAAATTTGCTATTTCTAATATTACTGTATATGTTCTAGGGATTAATGAATTTGAATGTCATCGTTCAGTAAAAATTAGATTTCCAGTGTATTGAGAGCAGTATTTTAAGTGGCCAAACCGTGGTAACATAAAACCGTTATGTATATAATTCCGAGCACATAATGCAAGCCAAGAGATGACTTGAAAATTAACCGAGCAGTCTGCATTCCACAAAACACCCACTGATGTCGAGGGCTGTGTAAACATTCTTCCCCAGCATTATTACGAAAAGCTCACATTGGGAAAGTTTAGTAGGTTTATTTTTTGTTTTTTGGTTTTTTTTTTACAAATAGACTTTGCTATTAGGTTGCAAACTAATGTCCTCTCTTCATTACCAAATAGACCACATCTAGAAACCCTATGGTCTGATAAAACATTTGAACCCTTCATTCTCACCTAGCTACTAAGCATGTAGTATTAGGGTTAATTGAAATTCCTTAATTGCCAGCTTAAACATAAATACTGCTTACAGCATGTATGGCTGGTGAAATTAAGAAGATACACTATTCCCTTAAACTGAAGGGTCCAAACCAAGCATTTAGGATATATTACCTAAGATACTTCTGGTTGGGGCACAGCACATTTTTAATTATACTTGAGGGATTGTTCTCAAGCAGGAACTCTTTTAATATATTTATTACAGGCTTGTCACACAGATAAACAAGACAGCAAACCCAAAGTATTGGCTTTTTTAAAATGGGGGACTTTATAAAACATCAAACTCTTAATAGTAATTTCACACCAACACAGATTCATAATAGTAGCAACCTCCCCTGCCCCCCAGAAAAGATAAAAACAAAGTATAATTAGTCGCATTAGATTTTGCCTTTGATGATAATACATATTTATGTGTAGGGTAGTAATCACAATTTATCTTTCATCTTCATTGTAGCTTAATCAAAAGTATACTTTATTCAAGTAAAGTGAAGTTGGGTTGCAAACCTTCATTTAAGGAATTGACTGATGAAAGGTTTAACTAAAATTCACATTGGAAGGAAATTAAATTACATACAAAAACACTGGTTTAACTATGGGACAATATTTGGATTAGAAAACCATCATCCTAGATATAACCTCCTCATATTTATTTTTAAACAGTATTTTATTTTTTAACAAAGCAAAACCCTATGTCTTATTTCCACTTTGATTATAAAATGACATTGTTACTTAATACCAAAATACAATCATTTGAAACTGTCAGTAGTTTTTTTTTTTCTTTTTCTTTTTTTTTGGCTTAAAGTGAAAAGAAAGGAAAAAGACAACCTTTAAGTTATAATGTTAATTCGAAGGTAACCGGCCTTTCAAGAATTAATTTCAGCCAAAGCAATAATCATTATTTACCAGCGTGTGACATTTTTATCACTCATCATATTAGCAAATTTCCATTGAAAATGCTAAAATGGTTCGTCATAAGGCAGATAACTGCTCTAGCTGTAAAAGTGACCAACACAAGTGCCGGTACTCAAACATTAAATTATACTGTAATTAATAAAGACAGTTAAACTGTCTACTAGCAACAGCAATTTAGGTAACCACATTTGATCGGCTATAAATTGTAACTACATTAAAATTCCAGAAATATTAGCAATATGGATTACTTGATGGAAGTCGGGTGCTGATCACCAAATCTCTTTTTTTTTTTTTCTTTTTTTAAACAACGGAAGCTCAGGTCACGCTGACCACAAATCTGTGGGCGAAGATCAGGCCTTAGCACTTTTAATCTTGTGAAACAAGCAATTACAAATAGTTGCATCGATTTGTTAAAAAGCTTTAGGTGACATAAATTGTTTCCTGTTTAGCTTATTGCTCTGATACATAAAAGTCACCCAGTCCGGTATTAATTAGGGCTGTAGAACAACACAGGGTGGCCAGGACGGCTTCCAATCAAGAATCTGTCCGTCCTTTGTGAATGTTTCAAGGGCTGCTGTCACTGGCTTGTTCTTACATTAGTGACAGAGAGGAAAGGAAAACCATTTTGTTAATGTGAAAGCTTTAATACCAGCTTAATTTCGGGTTCTAAACTAAATCTCAAAATTTCAGACTCTCTTTCTTGTTATTTGACATAGAACACCATGTTTTTAAAATATCTTCTAAATAGAATAATATTTACAAGGCATTTCAGCCCCTGAAAAGCTAACACGTTTCTTTCCCAATACGTGAGACTGTACGTGTTTTCTTGGGTTTATATTTCTACACTTAAGATACAATTTTAAATGGCTTTTGCATGCTATTGACTTAACATAAATCAAATGTATCATATATACTTTCTTTAGGTTGGCATGCCACTTAGAAAAATATGTGAGATTCTGGGGAGGGGTGAAATCTGCAGAAAATTTATTAAATCGAAGTTTTTACTGTAATAGAATATTAATATAAGCCAATGCTCATTTGCCATTAAGCTGATCCTTTTTAAACATACACATGCTTTTTATTATTTTGCACTCAAGCAAAAATTCCACATTCAAAGACTTTCCATCTAGTTGGGAATGTCTCTGGCCAAGAAACATGTCAAGAAATCCTGACCTCCAGAAAGACAGCAGACATCATCTCCACTGAGCATTCCCCCTACTGGGCGAGGAGCACAAACCCACATCTCCCAAAATACAAGGTAAACGCTGGTCAGCAGTGTGGAATGGGGAGAAATAATTATTCTTTAAATCCTTCCTCACTGCTGCTCCACCAGCACACAGATGAACATGTTTGATTTGCAACATAAAAGATTCATTAATTACCACTTGAATATTTAAAGCTATTTTGCAGTCTAACAGAGATAGAGAAAGCAGTGAATTAAAACCTCTAATAAAATTGTAAAAATATTTCGGTAAGTTTACCCATGTTATGATTTAGGGAGAGATTCAAGCATTCTCAGAGAATAGAATCTTAGCAGTTTTCAAGTGTGTATTTGAAGGAAGGAGCTAAGTGTTTGGGGAATAATTTGTTTCTGACTTTCAAATGTTTACTAATAATTTATTTTCAAATCAAACTTGCTACTTGAAGACTATGGGGGAAAAATATGTCAAGCAGATCAGAGCATTACGTGTCCAACCAGAAATTAAAATTATTTCAGAAATAATCAGCTGGGCAGAAGAGTTTAGAAGCCACATGCATACAGTGGTGATTTTGTTCTGACAACATGCATCAACTCTAGAACCCTCAGCCTCAGAACACCCCCTCCCCAGCATTTGCCTTAAATTCCATGATCTATCAGAATTTTAGTGTTTGCATCCTGGAATCCTACAAGTAGACTGTGCCAAGCACATTCTTTGAAATCAAATGCCAGAGAACGCAGATACCAAGTTAAGCCCTGACCAAAAGGAACTAGGTGACTTTGCCGGTTCCTTCATTGCTTTGGTCTTCAGCTTCCTCTTCCTGTTAATTGAGGACATTTTAACTACATGAGGAAAAGGATTCCTTCCAATTTTAGAGTTCTAAAATTTTAATAACACATTCATTCTCCCTTGGGGAATTTTCTTGATGAAATCCATGTTCTCAGCATAGAAGAGTTTGCGTATTTCACCAGCACTGTAAGATCATGTCATTGAACCCTGCTTGGTGCATGCTGTTAGAAGGAATTTTCACTAGCATGCACACTTTTATCCACCTGCAAAGAAGCACTGAGTGACCTACAGCTGAGAGTAGGCCAGATACATGCCTTGGTCTCACTGTGCCCGGTGCTTTACAGGAAAGCGCTCAAGCATTAGCACAGGGAAGCCTAGGGAGACCACCTCCCTCCACTGAGGACCATTAGGGAGCTTCCCAGAACATGCGAGATTGAACTGGAACCCACAGGATGACTAAGCCAAGGGCAGCTGGAGAGAGGGAGGGAAAGTTCTGAGCAGAGGGACTAGAGCTCAGGCAGAGCCCACCGTGTGAGAGGCGTGGGGCTTCAGAGCAGGAGTCAGCAAGAAATATTACAGAAAGACGCTGAGTAAAGCCATTGTTGTGGTTATCATATTTGAAGTATCTGGCAAAATAATAATTCTACTGATTAGTTAACGCTGAGTGCTTTACACAGGATTAAATCAGCTCTACTTTCAAAATGGGAAACTGAGGGACAGCAAAGTCAAGAGACTGTTCCTTGAGACAAACCCCTTCTTCTCTGGCCTCTGACCGTATTCATTATCTTGCATTTGCTGGGCTGATGAGTTTGGAGGTTCAAACCCACCAAGCATGCTCTGCCTTGGGGCTGGAAGTTGCTTTTCCTTTTAGTAATGCTCTCTCCTTGGGATTCTCTGCGGCTCACACCTTCCCTTCCTTCAGGCCTCCCAGTCCAAGGTGCCAGCAGAGAAGCCTTTCCTGTCCTCAGGGCAAATGGCTCTTTCCCCACCCACTCTACTTC